GTTATCCTGCTCTCTTACTCTCTCGGTAAAGAGTTGTGGTCAACACGTAGATTTACAAGTTTCAACATAAAATCTGGGAGGCTAAAAACAAGTGAGCATCATGAAGTGAAATAATGGTTCTGGTATATAGCTGAGATATTGTGTATGTGCAGGTACTGCTAGGAAGGCCTCTGTTATAGGGAAAATGTCACAATGGTCCCCCCCCCTGGTGCAGTGTTGGAGAAAGCTCATCTACATGTGCTGATGTACTGCGGTGTGTACTATGCTGATTAAACGTTCATGCATTCTGAACACATCTCTGTGGAACCAAACAAAGTAAACGCGATGGAGATCATCTCACACATCTCTGTGGACCCACACAAAGCCAACGCAATAGAGATCAAAGTCTTTCCGTAGCTGCGATTTCTTCAGATGATGCTTTTTAGAACACGACACTCAGAAGACATTACAGAAGACATCCCAATATTCACCCCAGTGTGTGATAATTATGTGGATCTTGTAGAAAAAATAGTTTTTATAGTTTCCGTTGCTCTGCACTAGTGTAGTACGCTCTGCCCTTACTGGGCATAGAAGTTAAACACCAATACAGTCAGCATGATAGTACCCCAGTGTGGACACTGTGTCCATCTTCCGAAACTCACGTATACGCACAAGGTTCTCCAGGAGAAATTCCGTCCCACCTCTGATTAGAGTGTCATGCTTGAAAATAGTGTCTTCGAGGACAAAAATAATGCTACAACACTTTAACGGCAGGAGCACGAAGCTAAGGTTCTTCAACGACAGTCGGCATTCCTCGAGAAAAATTCAGAATTATGTTCAAGAACCTGAAGTTCATGCTTGCACACGTGCATTATGCAGGAGACTATGCGACAGCATGCACAGTTGACGTCATCCTACAAAGATCGTATTTTATCCTTTGCAGGAACGTGGTTTCATGAATACAGTGGTGAAGGAGAAAGCTCAGATATTTCTGCACCGACATTGAGCACTCTAATTTGTTTTCAAGCTAGGAAACTCCGTGAAGTGGAAGGCACTTGAAGGGCCATTGCCACATTACCAAACCATTGAACCAATTAGGCATGGGCGGGTAATGCTAGTTATTTGCTGCGAAAATGCTAAAGGCAATGCTCATAATAATTATCAGGATAATGCCACTTATAATGCTCACACTACTCCATAATGCCGATTTGAAAGTAGGAAAAGTCGATTTAAAGGGGAAGTATACCCTAAAATCAAATTTTCACCAGTTGTAGTCTTCGGGGTGCTGAGTCGAATGGTCTTGGTCCGAGGAAGCTGCGACGCTCCCTTCCTACTTGAATCCCAATCGAACTCGCGCACTTCCACCGAAACTGGGTGACTGCGCCCTACTAGATGGGGATTTGTATGCAAAATGTCACTAAAAGCGCCATTTCGTTCTTATAAAAGCACGGATGACCGCGATTGGCCCATATGTTGTAGTCTTTTGGAC